AATTTCTGGCTGAATCATACCGGCACTCTGCGACTGAAAAAAAAGAAAAAACCGAACACCAAGTGTCGGTGGTCGCCGAAATGTCCTAGACCCGAAATCAGAGCACTATTCATTCATTACAGTTTGCTGTTCGAAACAGATCAATTTTTGTTGCCGCCTATCGAACGAAAAAAAATTGTTTGGAAAAAAAAATAAAACTGAAGATAAAGAGTCATTCAACAGAAACTAGAAAAAATTTAAGCAAAATGAAAAATCAAAAAGATATTTTCTCGATTGCACTCTTGACAATAACAACAAGAACAATAATAATCAAATTCTGTTCACTTTGGTGTAACCGAAATGNAATGAAAAATCAAAAGAATATTTTCTCAATTGCACTCTTGACAATAACAACAAGAACAATAATAATCAAATTCTGTTCACTTTGGTGTAACCGAAATGTTCTCGAGGCACTTCTCGAGGTACTCCTGATAAGAGTTCAGTCGTTCGATGTACTCTTTTCGTTTCTCTTCCAGTTGTGTGATTGTCTTACGCAAATTCTCCAGCTGTTCACTTCTCTCCAGTCGATATTCACGTTCACGATTGATGTCCTCAAACCATTCACAAATTTTCAAAACTACTCTCTAAGGCTACGATAAAACTGTGGCGAATTTTTTTGTGAAGGCTACAGTAAAAGTACTGTAAAGGTTTTTTACGAAGGCTATGATAAATTTATAGTGGCTACTGTACGTTTACTGTATTGTAATGAATAGTCATCAAAACGGATTGATCTAGCCATAAAATGATGACGGAGAAATCAATTGTGGAGTCTTTTGACTAATGTTCTGCTCAAACAAGGATCGCTCACTGTAGAAATCAGATTGTGAACGATAACGGTAGTTATTACTATTCAGAGCAATTATTACTAAATATATAAAGTATAAAGTCTTGTTCACAGGCTGTAAAGTATAAAGTATAAATCTTGTATAAAGTCAAAAATATAGAAAGTCTTGTTCACAGGCTGTGGTACATATCCGAACTGAGTGAATATCGCATCTGGTTTCATAATACATTCGAAAGGATCGATGAAGCTAACCTTAGCGATGGCCGTTACAATTGCCTGATAGTTGTCCAATATTGTGACGAGTTGATATCTCTCCAGCTCCCTCAAATTCTTCTGCAGTTGCAGTTTTTCTTCGTTCAGGGATGCCCTTCAAGTAGATTCTCGTCATTCCTCTACTGTCTCAAGCTCGCGACTCTCCAGGAAGTATTATACTTAAGCAACTATTCGTAATCGAGAAAATTTACAGATCATTAGATGCGATTGATTCAAGACTTGATTTTAATTACAATTACAGTGATCAGAGTGATCAATTCTTGATCATACCATAGAATGGCGCAGAAGCGATCACTTTTTTGTGGTCATTATGATTTTTATGGTGGTAAATGAATTTGCAAATGCTTTAACGATAAAAATGGATCGATTTTAAGCACTTTGAAGCGTTATTCTCAAGCATTGTCGACGATTTTAGTTCTTTATCAAAAATTTCTTGAAATTCCTAA